CACATACACAGCAGTAATGAAGGGCAACAGTAAAAATATTTAAAAGATAACAATTCCTGACCTTTACTTGTGGTAAATAAATAATAAAAAACATAAAGCACATATGTATATACGTCAAAATGATGGAACTTTTTTTTTAAAATAAATAAATGGGAGATAGTGATGTAAGAACAAAACAAAGTACGTTGAGTCTGACCTAACCTGAGGACTGTCTGTAATATCTCATCATTCTCCAAATACACCTAATTCATTCATGCTTCTCTGTGTTCATGAAAATCTCTATTTTGGGGACTTAAGAGACAATGCCTTCTTTATTCATGTTTATTATTTTGTCCCCAACTAATTTTTCACATCCTTCAAGGCCTAGCTTAAATATCTTTGAGAGAGTTTCTTACATACCTCACAACTAGAGGAATCTTACTGCTCTTGTAGGATTTTACATGTAATTCTATCATAGCAGTTATCACACTATATGAGTTAGCTATTACCTGCCTGTAATTCTAGAGAGACTGAATTTTTTTCAGGACAGGGTTATGTCTTACAAATCTCTACATATCTGCCCTAGGTGATTTGGCTCAGGAGATAGAGCACTGGCCCATGGACTAAAGGCTTCTAGGTTTGATTCTGGTCAAGGGCATGTACCTCAGAGGCAAATTCCCTGGCCCTGGTAAGGGTATATGCAGGAAGCAACCAATTAATGTGTGTCTTTCATATTGATGTTTCTCTCTCTCCCTCCCCCTCCCCTTCCCCCTCCCCGTCTCCCTCTCTCTCTCCCTCTCCCTCCTCCTCCCCCTCTCCCTCACACTCTCTAGAAAGAGGGGGAAAAATCAATGAAAAAATATCCTTGGGTGAAGATTAAAAGTAATAAAAATAAAGAAAATAAAGTCTACTTTTTCTATAAATGGTGTTGAGATATTACCTATTCATGTGGAAAAGAATGTGGCTAGATCCCCACACATAATAAATTCTAGCTGTTTTAAAGATTTTAAAAAATAGAGCTAATAAAAGTAATAAGAATAAAATATAGAGGAAGGTATATATTTATAACTAGGGGCAAGCAGGACTGTCTGAATGACTCATGCCCACTCTCACCACTCCTGTTCAATATAGTACTGGAAGTACTAGCCATTGCAATCAGACAAGAAGAAATAAAAGGCATACATATTGGAAAAGAAGAAGTAAAACTGTCCTTATTCGCAGATGACATGATACTGTCATGATACATAGAAAACCCTAAAGACTCCATCAAAAAACTATTAGACTTAATAAATGAATTCGGCAATGTAGCAGGATACAAAATTAATGCCAAGAAATTTATGGCATTTGTATATATCAATAGTGATCTTACAGAAACAGACAAAAAAAAAGCAAAAAAGCAAAAAAACAAAAAACAAAAAAAATTTGTAAGACATATCATCACACCAAAAATAAATAATAAATAAATAAAATAATATACCTAGGAATAAACTTAACTAAGAAGGTGAAAGGCCTATATGTGGAAAACTACAGGACACTGAAAAAAGAGATAGAGGAAGATGTAAATATATTGAAGAACATTCCATATTCATGGATTGGTAGAAACAACATTATTAAAATGTCCATACTACCCAAAGCAATCTATAGATTCAATACAATCCCCATTAAAATACCAATGGCAGCCGAGACCGGTTTGGCTCAGTGGATAGAGCGTCGGCCTGCGGACTGAAAGGTCCCGGGTTTGATTCTGGTGAAGGGCATGTACCTTGGTTGCGGGCACATCCCCAGTGGAGGATGTGCAAGAGGCAGCTGATCGATGTCTCTCTCTCATCGATGTTTCTGACTCTCTATCCCTCTCTCTTCCTCTCTGTAAAAAATAAATTTAAAAAAAGAAAAGAAAATACCAATGGCAAATTTCACAGACCTAGAACAAACTTTCCAAAAATTCATCTGGAATAAAAAAAGACCCGGAATACCTGCAGCAATTCTGATAAAGAAGAACAAAGTAGGAGGGATCTCAATACCAGATATCAAGCTGTGTTACAAAGCCACCATTCTCAAAACTGCCTAGTACTGGCAAAAGAACAGACATATAGATCAGCGTTTTCCAACCGCTGTTCCGCGGCACACTAGTGTGCCGCGAGATGTTGCCTGGTGTGCCGTAGGTGCAGACAAGACAAGAATTTTATAATTTTTCACTATTTTGTTTACTTAATATTTCATAATAAAGTAATTATAAAATACTTTCTTTGTGTTTATTTGATTCCTATTCAAGAGAATTACTTTATATATAGTCAATATAGGCACAGAGTTAAATTTTTTAACATTTTCTAATGGTGGTGTGCCTCGTGATTTTTTTCATGAAACAAGTGTGCCTTTGCCCAAAAAAGGTTGAAAAACACTGATATAGATCAATGGAATAGCATAGAGAACACAGAAATCGATCTGAACCACTATTCCCAATTAATATTCCACAAAGAAGGCAAGAGCATACAATGGAGTCAAGACAGTCTCTTCAATAAATGGTGTTGGGAAAATTGGACAGATACATGCAAAAAAATGAAACTAGACCACCAACTTACACCATACACAACAATAAACTTAAAATGGATAAAGGACTTAAATATAAGATGGGAAACCATAAAAATATATTAGAGGAATCCACAGGCAGAGAAATCTCAGACATATGCTGAAACAATTTCTTTACTTATAACTCCTCCCAGGGCAATGGAAACTAAAGAAAAATAAACAAATGAGACTATATCAAAATAAAAAGCTTTTGCACAGCAAAAGAAACTATCAACAAAACAATAAGAAAGCCCACTGCATGGAAGAACATATTTGCCAATGTTATCATGGATAAGGGCTTAATCTCCAACATTTACAGGGAACTCATATAATTTAACAAAAGGAATATAAACAACCCAATCAAAAAATGGGCAATGAACCTAAATAGATATTTTAGAAAGAAGACAGAAGGAAGGCCAAGAGGCATATGAAAACATGCTCAAAGTCACTAATCATCTGAAATATGCAAATAAAAATGACAATGAGGTACATCTCACACCTGTTAGAATGGCTATCAGCAAAAATCAACAAAGGACAAGTGCTGGTGAAAATGGGCAGAAAAAGGAACTCTCGTGCACTGCTAGTGGGAATGCAGATTGGTGTAGCCACTGTGGAAAGCAGTATGGAGCTTCCTTAAAAAACTAAAAATGGAATTCCCATTCAACCCAGTGATCCCACGTCTAGGGAATATATCCCAAAAAACTAGAAACACCAATCAGGAAGGATATATACACCCTTATGTTCATAGCAGCATAATTTACAATAGCTAAGATTTGGAAACAGCCTAAATGCCCATTAGCAGATGAGTGAATTAAAAGACTGAGGTATTTCTACACAATGGAATACTACACTTCAGTAAAAAAGAAGGAATTCTTACCATTTGCAACAGCATGGATGGAACTGGAGAGCATTATGCTAAGTGAAATAAGCCAGTTAGAGAAAGATAAATATCACATGATCTCACTCATTTATGGAATATAATGAACAACATAAACTGATGAACAAAAATAGATATAGAGACCGAGAAACATCAATCAGACCAATAAACCTCAGAGGGAAATTAGGAAAGGTTGGGGGTTGGGGGAGAGATCAACCAAATGACTTGCATGCATGCATATAAGCCTAACCAATGGACACAGACGACAACAAGGGGGTGAGGGCATGAGAGGGGGTAAGAGGGATAATGGGGGAATAAGGACACATATGTAACACCTTAATCAATAAAGAAATTAAAAAAAGAGAAATATTGTTAAAATATATTAAAAACCCTTTGGTATATAAAAAGCAGCTATATTCTGACTCCCTCTACTGCCCCCTCAACTTCCCTCCTCTGCCGGCCTGATCACCTTAACTGCCCTCCCCTATAGGCTTGATCACCCCCAATTGCCCTCCCTTGCCAGGCCTGGTCCTTCCCAACTGCCCTCCCATGCTTGCCATCTTGTGGCGGCCATCTTGTGTCCACATAGGGACAGGATCTTTGACCACATGGGGGCAGCCATCTTCTGTGTTGGAGTGACAGTCAATTTGCATATTATTCTTTAATTATATAGGATAGAAGCCTGGTGCAGAAGTGGAGGCCAGCTGGTTTTCCGTGAAGGGTGTTCTGGATCAGGGTGGGGGTTCCCTTGGGATGTGGGACCTGTGTGGTTTGCAGGCTGGCCATGCCTCCAGTGACCCAAGCGGAGGCCCTGATATCTGGGATTTGTTTATCTCCTATAACTGAAACTTTGTAGCCTTGAGTGGAGGCCTGGGCCCACCAGGGTGTGTGGAAAGTTTGGCTTCCTCCATTGCAGGGGAAACCCAAGCCTCCTGCTCACTCTGTGACTGCAGCCATATTGGTTTGGTTAATTTGCCTACTTTCTCCTGATTGGGTGATGGGCGTGGCTTATGGGTGTGGTGGAGTGATGGTTAATTTGCTTTTATTAGATAGGGTTAGACATTTAGGAACTATACATGCTTGACAAGAATATGATAATTTTATTTTATTTTATTTTATTTATTTATTTATTTTAGAGGTTTATTATTTATTTATTTATTTTTTAAATCTTGGACATTTCTTTTAGCAATAATTTTTTAATATATTTTATTGATTTTGTACAGAGAGGAAGGGAGAGAGATAGAGAGCTAGAAACATCGATGAGAGAGAGTCATCGATCAGCCGCCTCTTGCACCCCCCCCACTGGGGATATGTCCGCAACCAAGGCACATACCCCTGACCAGAATCGAACCTGGGACCCTTCAGTCCCCAAGCTGACGCTCTATCCATTGAGCCAAACCAGTCTCGGCGGATATGATAATTTTAGAACATGACTGCTTCTGACCTACTGATTTCCAAGGTGTTTTACCATGTGAAAATAATCCTAATGAGAAGCTTGCCTATGCAATATTCTGAATATATCAATACTTTTAAACCAAACATCCTTACGTAAATAGGGGAAAAAATGAGAAAAAATTACCCTAAAAGAAATCCCCATTGCCAGGGAAAATTCAAAAGGAAGTGGGAAATAACAGCAGCCGCACATGCCTCCATGAGGCATGGACCAAAGGACAATCTTAAACAAACATTCCTCAAACGCTTCAAAGCCTGAAATATAAGCACAGTCATATTTAGAAAAACTTATAACGGATAGCAAGAAAATGAAGGAAAATTTAAAATATATAGTCTTTTACTAAATTAAATCTTCCTGATTGTTCCTGGGCTTGAAATGTTAATACAAATCATTTTATATGTCATGATAGGTTGGATTACAAACCATTGCACATTTTATCAAATTCATTTTTACTTGATTTGAGAGCGAGATCAACTTGTTGATTCACTCATTTATGTACTCATTAGTTGATTCTTGTATGTACCCTGACCAGAAATCGAACCAGCAATCTTGGTGTAGCAAGAGGATGCTCTTACCAATTGAACTACCTAGACAGGGTCAAACACTGATGTATTTTAATTGTTAAAAAAGATCAATTCCTCCGTGCTTAAATAACTATTTTTATTTCCCTTAATCTTCCTAGTAAATAGTATAATGAAAGTATAGGTTTATACCCATCAGTTGACTTTCAGAGATCAACTATTTGATTAACTTAATAATTGTAAATAGAAAATATCAACATGATAAAAAAGAATATCACTTAAAAGCTGCATAATTAACTAAAAGGGAAAACAATAATTTTTTTCATTGCTTTAAACTTTCTATTGGAGAACAATAAATTAGCACTGTCTATATTTATACTCCTGAGATATTACCACTAAACTTATATATTTGTCACATCTATTTGAGAAGCTATTATATGAATCTTTTTAAAACCCAAATAGATTTGTGATTCCTAGATAATAATATTTTAGAAAATGTTATAGAAGATTAGCTTTTACAATAATGCAACAATAATTAGGAACATGTTTTAACAGGGAAAAGTCATAAAACAAAAATATTATTGACATTTTTAATCTCTCTGGAAAAAAACAAAAAAAAACAAAAGCAAAACCTTTTATAGGGTATTTTATCCTTTGTTAACTAAAAAGCAAATAGTTCTCCAATGAAGACTCACAACTCCCAAATAATACAAATGTTGGATAAGGGCCATTTATCTCTATGCAAATAATTAAAGGCTATTTCTAATGGAGATATTACATCACAGTAATGTCTCTTCATATCAGTAATAATGACAAGAAGCATAAATTAAGGTCCCAATATTTCCACAAATTTTTGTTTTTTATCTTAGTTGTGCTCACAGATTCCACTTGAAATAGCTATTAACAAAAATTCATCCTCTTTTTCTTTTCTACCAGCCTCTAATATTTAAAGTATCTTTACTCACAGTACGATGGGAAATATACCTGTATATCGAGTCCAAGTCCAGCTTTTATTAGGATAAGGGTAAGGGCAATATTTCTTATAGTTGAAGACCAGTCGCTACTAATATGGACGTGCTCACTGATATATGGAGCATTCCTAATAGTAAAACCAGCCAATAACATCCCTTCAAAAAAGAAAATAAATCATATTTGATTCAGTTCGTTTTTCCAAGAGGAAAATAGATACGTTTAATTTCCCTTTTTCAAACACACTATATCTTTCATTACTTTGGTGAAGGACAAGTTACACACATGTAGAGGAGACAGCATAAAGAAATGAAGGTAAAAAAATGATATCTTAATGGGGTATAACTAGTAATCTAGTGTTGCTAGAACATAAAAGGCAAAAACGGGAGTGGGAGAATGGGCAAGAGAATGGGCTTCAGATTGTGAATATATACTCCCACTCCACATTCCCACCTGCTTTGGCAGAGTAAGGTATCATGGAAAAGTTTTAGGCAGGAAATGACATAATGACTCTTGCATTTATGGTCTTGGTGAATAGATAGAAATAACATTGGAGGAAAAACATTGAAAAGGCTTTGCCGTAGTCCATGGTAGAGTTGGAAACATTACTTAAACTAAGATAAGAGTAAAATTTTGAAGAGGAGGAAAGAAGATTCAACGAATACTTATTAAGTGCTGAAAGAGTGTAATGGACTTAGAAAGGGTGTTAGAAATAAAATGAAGATTATGTCTATTAAAATTTTACTGAATGTTTGAATGTATTGAATACTTAGAAGATATAGTTTTTCCATTAATTTTCCTCTGTCCACCTGGAGGTTATGTAAAAAGATGATGAAATAGGTATAAACACGTCAGGCAGGTGATATATCTATGAATACACCTAGTGGAGATACCCACGCAGCTTACTCAAAAACTGTGACTTTTTGATGCTATAGACACTATAATACTTAAATTTGTAATTGAATTTGAGTTACGTTATCTATAGAAAAATTTGGTCTTTCCCTAATTTTTCCTTTTCTATGATATTTAAAATTAAGTAAAAAATGTCCTATTAAATGATAAAGTAACAAGAATTATATACTGAGTATAATTGTTATTTTAAAGATATATTTCAGAAAAAAATCTGTGTATATGTAGAGAGAATAAATACCTCATAAATTAGGTATATATACACACATATACAATACATACACATATAAAGATGCTATATAAATTATATTACATTAAAACATTTCTAAATTATATTTATTCTGACTAGAATATGCTCATAGTTTACATGAAATCAATAAGAAGAAATTAAAGCTAATTATACCCTTACCCAAAAGAGGTGGAAGTGGAGGCATTGAAGGTATTCTACAGACTTGTAAAAGTTTCCCCGCAATTAGGGAACAACAAAAGACAAATAACAGTCCAAATGAATTTTCATTAGGGTAACGGCCATGGCTTGAGACTGACGAGATTGCAAACCATATCATAAAAAGTAAAAATCCTAAAATATAAAAAGATACATATCTATCTATCTTTATATACACACACAGACATAGATATATATATTTGAAAATGGATATTTTATCAAATATCTTATTAATAGCCAGTGCTATCTAAAAGATACATAGTGATATATATATATATATATATATATATATATATATATATGCGCCAGGTTTTTAATTTTTATGTTCTAAATGTTTTTATTGATTTCAGACAGAGAGGAAGGGAGAGGGGGAGAGGATAGAAACATTAAAGTGAGAGAGAAACATTGATCTGCCGCCTCCTGCACACTCCCTCACTGGGAATTGAGCTGGAAACTCAGACATGTAGGCACCTGATTTTTAAAAAGTCACTTTGCAGCAAAAATGGTAGGTAATTACTATTAATTTTTTGGGGTAAATCTATTGAAATTATACCTATTTTTTTTTGTCAGAATGGCAAACAATGTATTTTTTGGTGTGTCACAGAATTTTAGTAATTAGGTTCTGTGTGCTCTGAAACGAAAAAGATTGAATATCACTGTTGCTAGTTTGAAGAAATATCTGTTTAACATTTATTCTAAAATCCCTGCCAATTTATGGGATGAGATTGTTTTTTCTTTTATTGTTAGTAATAGTACAGATAAGTACCCTCCACCTTTACCCCACTGTATGGGATGAGTTTTAAACAAAGTTTCTTATTTAAAAAAATACCTTAAAACTTCATGGACAGTGTGACTTAGTGGTTAAGTGACGACCTATGAACCAACAGGTCACCAATTCAACTCCTGGTCAGGGTACATGCCTGCTTTGAGAGCTCAATCCCTAGTAAGGGGCATACAGGAGGCAGCTGATTGATGATGCTTCTCTCATTGATGTTTCTCTCTCTCCCTAAAAACCCATAAAACCCTATTAGAATATTTCAAAACTATGTGAATACTTTAAAGTGCTTAATATTTCTCAAATTATATGACATTTAAAAAATGTCATGACAACATAATGAGATTTACTTCATTTTATATATTTTAAAGTATTTTTTCCATGAGGAATAAGATGATGATTGGTTGTGATATGAATTCTCATATTTTTAACAGGAGCAGAATAAATTTTTGTATTGAAAGGATAACTCAGTTGATATTTGATATAAATTATTAAAGCAGATAAGAGCTGGCCTTTGGTTGAATATAACGTATCTTAGTTATGTATAGGAAGCAGAGATGGGCAGGGTAAGAAAGAATAAGATAATAGACATCTTGTTTCTAGCAAAAAGATACTAAGAAAAGGCCCTACTAACAAGGAGATCCAAATGTGTGGTTTTTTTTTAATCTAATGGAAGTATTTTATTTTTCAATTGAATGTACTGGGGTGAAATTGATTAATAAAATTATATAGGTTTCAGGTGTTCAATTCTGTAATAAATCATTTGTATATTATATTGTGTGTTCATCACCCAAAGTCAAGTCTCCTCCCATCACCATTTATTCCCCCTGTATGTATTCTTTTCTTCCCCCTCCCACCCACCTTGCTCTGAGGTAACACCATACTCTACCATACTGTCTGTGTCTATGAGTGTTTTTTTTCTTTCATTTTTTTTTCTTTTTGCTTAATCCCTTCACCTTTTTCACCCAGACCCAGGTGTTAGTCTATTCTCTGTATCTATGAGCCTGTTTCTATTTTGTTAATTTATTTTGTTCATTAGATTCCAAGTGTAAGTGGAATCATATGGCATTTGTGTTTCTCTGACTGGCTTATTTCACTTAGCATAATACTCTTTAGGCCCATCCTGCCCATCTACTAATGGGCACTTGGGCTGCTTCCAAATCTTGGCTATTGTAAATAATGCTGTTATGAACATAGAGGTATATATATTCTTTCTAATTAGTGTTTCAGGTTTCTTTGCATATATTCCCAGAAATGGAATTGCTGGGTCATAAGACATTCTATTTTTAATTTTGTGAGGTAGCTCCATACTGTTTTCTATAGTGGCTACACCAGTCTGCTTTCCCACCAACAGTGCACTAGGGTTCCTTTTTCTCCTGACCACTACTTGTTGTTTGTTGATTAATGACTAGAGGCCCAGTGCACGAAATTCATGCACTAAGGAAGGGGGTGTCCCTCAGCTCAGCTTGCACCTTCTCCAATCTGGGACCACTTGGGGATGTCCGACTGCCAGGCCTGATCCCTGCTGCCCTCCACTGCAGGCCTGGTCTCCCCCAACTGCCCTCACCTGCTGGCTTGGTCACCCCTAACTGCCCTCTCCTGCCAGCATGGTTGCCCCAAACTGCCCTCCCCTGAAGGCCTGGTCAACCCCAACTGCCCTCTGTCCCCTGCAGGCCCAGTTGCCCCCAACTGCTCTCTCCTGCCAACCTGGTCATCCCTAACTGCCCTCCCCTGCTGGCCTGATCATCCACAATTGCCCTTCCCTACGGCCATCTTGTGACCACTGGGGGCGGCCATCTTGGGCAAGGGCATGACAATCAATTTGCATATTACCTCTTTATTATATAGGATAGCCACTCTGACAGGTATGAGGTGGTATCTCACTGTCATTTTTAATTTGCATTTCTTTGATCACTAATGGCTTAGATTTTTTATAAAGTATGGATGACTGTAAATTGCCATCTATAAATTAAATGGCTATGAATCATAGTTTCTAATGTTTTTTTCAGGTTCTTGAAACAGCTTATGTAATGGCTTTTTGGCTTCATAGTATTGCCAAGGGTAAAAGAGGAGGATTTTGACAAATTAAAAGCAGGAAGTAAGAACTGAGATTCTTATGCTTTCCCCTCTGACCATTTCTTACTCCGCAAAACTGAACACTTGAAGGATTAAATTCTTACTATATAAAAGAACAGACCAGAAAATGTCATTCTACTGACAAAGAGAAAAGAAAAGGCAGTTTGTCTGTTTTCACTGATCTCTGAGAGGCAAAATAACCTCTGAAAATCCATATATAAATAGGTCTCAAATAACTTATGTTTAAGCAGAAATTTATATGATTTGCATGGTTTTGGAGCCTCCAAACCCTAAGCCTACCATAAGAAGCATCTTTCCAAGGAACTATCCCTAGGGCAGTTAGTAGATGCTAGTTCAAAATAATCCTAATAAACACTACTGATTTCAGATGCATAAAAGCCCAAAGATAAAGTCCCACTGAAGCTGAAATTAAAATAAAAACTTACAGAGATAGAAAAATGGTGACAGATTAAGTAGAAGCTACAATGAAACTCTCCCAGGACCAAACTGTAATTACAACTAAAATATAGAAAAACCATCCTGAACAATCAACTGAAGACTAGCTAGAGGGAACCTGATAATCAAGGATGGAAAGAGGAGACTGGATAGAGCTGGTAGGAAGGACAGAGGCACGAGAGGGTTGGCTGGGCTCCCATATTTAAAAAAAAAAAAAGCCCTAAATGAAAGGACAGAAGATTTCTCCAGAAGAGCTAAATGAAATGGAGATAAGAAATTTATCAAGATAGAGAATATGGCAAATGGCAGGAAGCGAGGGGAGTAGATAGTGTGAGAGAATGAGGGAGTGATAGAAGGGCGTGTGGATGTGTGTGGTGTGTATATGCATGAGCTAGGGACAGTTAGATTCTGCAGGTCTTCCAAGGGACTGCCAAACTGGGCAGTCTTGGACAGCGGAGTCCTGCTCCCAACGCAGATACTCGGGGGCGGCCCTTACTGGCACTTCAGAAACAAAGCTGATTGAGACTACGATCCTGGCCTTAGCACCACCCAGTCTGGTCTCAGACGCAAACCAGGACCCTACAGCCACTGGGGACAAAGACCT